GATTCAACATGGCATATTTTATTATAGATGTAGGCATGGAAAGAATAGAATTTAATAAATTCATCTGCATGAGAGGCAGATGAACTTGTGTTTCTACAAATGTGTTTTCTGTTGCTTGACCAGTGTATACAACATGGTCTCTCTAATGTTTCTTAAGTGGAAACAAACAAACATCCATTTATTTACTCAAAGCAAATATATGTTAGAGGCATTTTGTTTTGTTTTGTTTTCATACAGATAGGCCTAGTGTTACAAAGAGGCCTCCTTGGGTTAGTATACAAAACAGTTACCCCATGGGGCCAGCTACATTTTCTTACTCACTCCATCACAATACACTGAGGTTACTGATGAGAGAATGGTTTATTTCTGATAACAAGCTGAGGAGAAAAAGAAATGTCTCATCTCATATTATGTGCCATATAATATTTACTTCTGAAAAAACTGGGCATTTTGTTATATGAAAGTTTTAAGAATTTTAATAATTCTCCAAATTCAGCCCTTTACCACACTAATTTATCTTGGAAACACAGTTAATAATATAGATATGCCCAGGTACAAATTTATCCTATTTACATAAAGAAATCTTAGAAATTCAAGATACTCTTTATATTAGAATTAGAAGTTTACTAGCTTTACATGGATGGCACAAGATCAGACAGTGTTTCGTTCTGTTGTACATAGAGTTGCTATGAGTCGGAATTGACTCAACGGCATCTAACAACAACAGTAGTCTAACACAGTAGAAGAAAACATTTTGCATTACTCTCCATCCAATTGCTTAAAGAAGTATAAGCAATCAGCAAGACTGCTAGTGGATAAAAATAAGGATGTTCAGTTTATATGGTCTTAAGATACATCTGAAGAATACTATCTAGTCACCACAGAGAGTTATATCTTCATAATTCAGTTGTACATGGGAATCCTCTCAAATGAGAAAGCTAGTCAGTGAACTGGAGTTGACTTCAGGGATATTACACATCCTCTACCAATTTAAATGAATAAGATAAAAATGTGAAACCACTATTTGGTTAATAACATGTAAAAAGCGAGGGAAAGATGCTAATTCATAGTTGTTGCTATTTGTTGTTAAATGCTGTCGAGTCAGTTCTGACTCATAGCGACCCTGTATAGGGTTTCCAAGAAGGAATTAGTGAGTTTGAACCACCAACCTTGTAGTTCAAACCGACCTTTCGGTCCAGTGCTTTATCCCACTGTGAACTGGGTAAAACGCTGGATATGAACTAATTTATTAAACCCATCTTAGGCCAAATGGAAGTTATTTTAATTTTGTCCTCAAATGGCTTATAATAAAGTACGGCAGTTCACTGGACATAAGCTGAGAAAACAAAATAAAGAACCAAACATTTGTTCACAATACAAGAGACTATTAGGGATTAAGTCTGAGTAACAAACAGCAGAGAGTCTTTCATTACAGACAATAGCTGTTTTAGTGAGAATAAAGGCAGCTTGTTACATTCCTTAAACAGTAAAAATAATAGAATGTATTTAGGACAGAAAAATTAACACCAATGTTCATACATATGAGAAACAGGCAGATTCTGGGATCAAATTCCTGAGACAGACGGACCCTGGGTCTGATCGTATCAAGAAATGTATAGTCTTTTAATTCCCCTCCATGGAATTCAGTTCACTAAAAGTTTCTAAAACAAACTAGAAACTCAGAATTCATCAAAATCACTTGAAAATAGTCACAGGTTGATGGGAAATGAATGTTTTTTTTTTCAGTCCCAAGTTCAGTGAGGCACTTTCAACAACCCAGTAACCACATTAACGAAACATATTACTCAGAGGGCAAGAAGAACCAAAAATGTGATTTAGGCCCATCTCACTAAGAACCAAATCAGTTAGAGAGGAACAGCAGCAGTGCTACACAAAGGCAGAGTTTTTTAGCTTTCTTACTGAGCCAGCTTTGACGGTCTTTAAGACACTGATTTTCATTCTGTGTTCCACAGGAACTTGGAAGTCACGAAGCATTTATTTACCATGGGGTCATTTTCAGTGTGCCTTGGTTCCATCATTTTCAGGTATCCAAATCCCATTAAATCATCGTGGGTATAACCTGAGAACATTCCACTTCCTCTCCAGCAGTTTGAGAAACGGTGAGCCAATTATTTCATAGGCAGTGGCCAGGGACAATGCAGTGGTGGTGGTTGTTATGTGTTGTAGAGTCGGTTCCGACTCATAGTGACCCTGTCTGTACAGGGTTTCCGAGGCTGTAAATCTTTACGGGAACAGAAAGCCTCATCTTTCTCCCATGGAACAGCTAGTTGTTTTGAACTGCTGACCTTGCGGTTTGCAGCCCGATTCGTAACCACTATGCTACCAGAGCTCCTTAATGCAGTGGTAGTCATAGTATTTGATATTTGACAGCGTGTTTCAGTGATTGGATTCAGAAATGATAAAGATTATGGGACTTGGGAAGACAACAGACTGTAAACATTGTTGGCACACACAGGCAAGTTTTTAAATGGAAGGCCTATCATAAGGTCAAAGAGGACTCCACAATAAGCACAAATAACTTCATAGAGCAAATGACTGCCTAAAATCAATGTTTGAGAATAAATGTTGTTGTTGCTAAGTGCCACCTATGTCAGTTTCAACTCAGAGCGACTCTGCCTAGGGTTTCCAATTAGTAGCTGGTAGGGTTGAGCTGCTGACCTTGTGGTTCAAACCAACCTTGTGGTCCAGTGCTTATCCTACAGTGCCACAATAAATAAGACACAAGATAAAATTGGTGGCACAGAAATCCAGAATATAGGCTTAAATTGAAGTGCATTTTTATTTTTTCCCTTGGGTAAGAATAATTTCTGGAATGTTTATGGGAAGGTGAAGAAAGAGATTAGTAACCACCCTCCTCCTCATAATTTTCAGTCATAGGCATAGCACACAGTTTAAAATTACAGTGTTTTTGTTTTGCTTCTTGGGAAATAATTCCTGGGATGTTTATGGGGGAAAAAAATTGGCAGTTGGTAGTCTACTTAGCATAGACACAGCTCTAAAAAAGGAAACTCACTGAAGAGCAGTAGACAAAGCATCTAAATTATAAACTTCATCAGGATGACATGCTGGACACTTTTTTTTACAGGGGCCACTCTCCTGGTACATACATGGAAGACCAGGGTGGCCTCACGGAATCAGTGGTTTTGTGACACTGTCTAACCCACCCTGATGAGGTGGCTTGCTGAGCTTGGCAGGAAATTCTGAAACATAGTTCCTGGTGTTAATATTATTCTAGGGCTTGGAAGAAAATGGCAATGATGGCCATTTCATAAAGGACAAAATTCTCTTCTACCCCATGCAAAAGTTAGTGTCAGTGAAGGCGGATAATTACATCAAGCCTACCCTATCTCTTTTAATCTTCAATGTCTCCTGGAATGAGTATGGAGTCCTGGTGGGCGCTATTGGTTAATGCACTGGACTGCAAAATTCATTTCAACTGGGAGGCCTGCGGTTCAAGTTCTCTAGCTGCTCCTTAGAAACTCTATATAGGGTCACTATGGGTTGGAACCTGACTTGATGGCACTTAACAACAACCACAACCTGGAATGAATTATGCTCATTTATTTGGTCTCTCAGCACTTTGTACTCAGAAGGCTTTTTCCTTCTGGGCCTGAAACCCAATAATTGGAGAGCCAGCCAGGAGATCAAAAATCTCCCAGGCTCCCTAATCAAGATGGGAGGAGAGTGCTAAGGGCTCAGGGATGGGGGTTGGGAGTGGGGTGGGACAGTCGGAGCCAGATATGGCTCCAAAGAGGCCACGCCTCTCTCTCATGTAACAACAGTCTCCATTAATATAGTATTATATATTGTATAGATAGAAAACAGCAACACACAATGACATTATAGAACAATAATTCAATCAATATTTTTGTTTCTTAATAAAATATGTTAAGCACAGTATCTAAATTGCATTTCTCTGAAAAGCATTTGGTATATTAAATACAGAAATATATTAAATAGCTTTATAAACATTTGCTGGCATCCTCTTAACAGCATAATGATTCTAAAGAGATTAAAATCCACTGATGCATAAAGATCTTTTCTTTATAATACCATAAACTGAAAATAAATAAATATTTGAGAAGTTTATTCTCATAATGCAGACTAAATAGCTTGCCAGATAGTATTAGTAGGTGGCTACATATGTACGTATATATATATATATATATATATATAAAATTTTTTTTTTTTGAGTTTCAGAGAAAAGATAATGCTACACATATTGCTGGCTGTAGTTTTAAAATACCAATTTGGTAGGACAAAAGTGTAGTTGAAAGGTGAACTAAAGATGACCATTTCCTGTTTGTACCCATTCTGAAGAATTCATAAATTTTCAAAAGATATGATCCTACTTGAAACTAATGTTACGGCGAATATAGAGACTACATAAAAAGTACATTTTGTGACTGGTGAAAATGATACAAAATGAAAACTATGGTATTAATGAAAACTAGACAAGAAAGTAAAAGAGCATTTAAAAAGAGTTTTGAAAGCTGGCGTGAGATGTAAGCTGTTAATGCTTAGGTGACTGCGTAAGTCTTGGAGATGGTTTACAAGGATAAATAGTTTCTTTTATCAGTTTCCTCTTCAAGACAAATCCTCACTGATCTCTCTAAGTAAGCTTTTCTCAGTCTGGTGTTAAAGAGCTTACTTCATACTAAGCTTCCTAAGAACTGACCAGATGGGTCAGCAGAAAAAGTTCTAAAACTTGAAAGGAAGAGGAATCAAAGTTTTAAAATTTGTATGCAAACATAAAAACTACCCTCTAAGCCGAAACGACATTCTCTGACAGAAGTAACAGTATAAAAGTCTTAAATTTAGTGTATATGACACTAACTATTATTAGATGTTACATGTACTTCAGAGAATGTTTTAAATCAGTGTGCTTTTTCCCTAAGAAAAGGACATAGTAAACGGTTTTTCCGTCCTCAAATCCTTTATATGTAAATATGAAATCCGGAGCTGTCCTGTCATTCAGTTCATTCTTGTTGAGCACTCAAGGGTCTTTTTCTGCTGGTATTGTATGTGGCAGTTTTGTTAGGTTTGAGTTTGAAAAGGCTTGAACAGTTTGGCTGTTTGGTAGGCTGTAAGGTTCTGGCGTAGGGTGAATACCAGTCCCTTTCAAACACATCTTTCAATTGCTTAATGATGCTTGTGTCGTTACTCACGTCTGCTTGGTTGATAACAAGGCCTGTACCGGCATTCTGGGTAAAATCATTCCCTACCCAATCAAAATTTCCTGCAAGCAAACAAAAGAAGTCATGGTAAGGAGTTAGTACCCACTGGGGAATATTCCCAATTATCCTGAGATACAGAGCAGATTTTATTTAAAAAATAAAGAAAAAAAAATAAACACCCAGGAATAATGACAGGGAGACCAAATTGTGTTGACAGCTTCAGAAAAAGTTTTTTTAAATCCAAGAAGCTTTACATATGGCTTATTAATATTTGCATATTATTTTGGCATTTTCTTCAGCTTTGCTCAACTTGAAACTCAAAACAAGGAATCTGCTGTTCCTTTTTTGTAAATGTTATTTCTTATTGACATTCACAAGACACATTAAATACAGCAACATTTAAAATATATAGGAATACACTTAAAAATCCTATAAACAATTACTGCCTTCTCAAAAAGACAACATCTAATCCATATGTACTAACGAGGGATTCTAACAGCAATGCTCAAAAGCTTCCACATCAAAGAGAAAGCTGAAGTTAGAGAGGGAGCATCATTTCTCACTGAATATGCAAAACTTGTCTTGTTTGGGTTAGAAATCATGTTTCAGCTGGGCGTCAGTCAGACCTTTGGTTCAGGAGTCTGAGCAGTGACTTTGAGAGCAGATTCCCAGGTATGACTGTTGGGATCGGCCCCAAGATGGGCTCATCATGGCTACCCCCCTCACACGGAGCCTGAAATTCAAGGTGGGAGTCAATAAAAGGGGCTGGATTATCTTAAAAATCTACCACCCATCTGTCCGTTTGGCATACTGTATAGCTTGTGGGTTCCTATGATGCCAGAAGTGGTGACACTGGCATTTCAAATACCAGCAGAGTCACTCATGATGAACAGATTCTAGCAGAGCTTCCAGAATAAGAGTAGGAAGAAAAGCTTGGTAATTTACTTCCAAAATTAACCAGTGAAAACCCTATGGTCCACAATTGAATACTAATTGATTTAGTGCTGGGAAGATGAGCTTCCTAGGTTGGAAGGCACTCAACATACCGAGTGGACCCAACAACAGACTTGAGCACATCACGAGGATGGTGCAGACCAGGCAATGTTCCATTCTGTTGTACACGGGTTCAACTTGATGGTGATTGACAACAATAAAACTTCAGCATACCAATAGTGAATCTCTTGTTTGTATACCTAAGAGGGGAGAGGGATCTAGCAAGAGAAAAAAGCTTTTCCTTAGGACAGTTTTTGTTGTTGTACAGTATTGTTTATTTCTTTGATCTTTTCTGTCTTTTATTCAACACATATTTCTGCCTACTATGACCAAATCCTATATTTGTTGTTGCTGTTAAGTGCCATCGAGTTGATTCCTACTCATAGCGACTCTGTATAGGGTTTCCAAGGAGCGGCTGATGAGCTTGAACTGCCAACCTTGTGGTTTCGTGGTTTCAACCGACCTTGCAGTCCAGTGTATTAACCCATAGTGCTACACCAGTCCTGTATTAGAAGCTAGGATTGAAAATAGTCCCTGCCTTCAAGGAGTCCAGCAGGGAAATGTAGTGGTTATAATGCCAAGTATATGAGGAGGTAGAAGAGATGCAGGTCTACAGTGCCATGAGGGCACGAATGAAGGAATTTCTAATTCAGACTCGACGTGTCAGAAAAGGGGCATTTAGGTGAGTAAAGAGAGATATATAGACATTTATTAATAAAAAAAGAGAGCCACATCCCCAAGACAGGATCACAAAATGCTGTTGGCTATTGGAGTGTGAAGGGAATGAGCTAGGGATAAAGTCAGTATATAAGAGATGTCAAAGGTAGAGGAATGATCACTTATTAAGTGCCTACTATGAACAAGGAGTCCTGGTGTGACTCTGTGAGATAAGCACTGGGCTGCTAACTGCAAGGTGGGCAGTTCAAACCTACCAGCCACTCCTTGGAAACCCTATACAGGGTCACTGTGAGTCCAAACTTCCTTGATAGCATGTAACAATGAACAAAGCAGTACACTTGGCGTTCTGTAGCTATTAAGATTTACCTCTGCTTTATAGCTGAGGACAGTAAGGTACAAGAGAAGGGAATAAATTTGTCCAAGTCTTATGACCAATAAATGGTGAAATCAAAGTCTACCAGACTCCATGAACTAATCACAATACCATTGTGATGGTTAAAGTTTTGTGTCAACTTGACTGGGCCAGGGTCTCAATGATTGAGCAGTAAAGTGGTAATCCCTCATGAAGAGATCTATTATAATTGTAATCACCTTCATGATGAAATTTGTTAAGAGCAGCCAATCAATTGAAAGAAAGTTTCCTTGGGGGTGTGGCCTGTAATGCCTTTTATCTTACAAGAGATAAAAGAAGAGAGAAGTGTGCTGGGGAGAAAGGACCTACTCTCACCAAGAAAGAAGAGCCAGGAGTGGAGTGCATGCTTTAGGCCTGGGGTCTCGGCACTGTGAAGCTCCTAGACCCAGGGAAAGACTGATGCCAAAACACATGGAACTCTCCAAGGAGGGCTGGGTCTACAGATGCTGAAAGGAGACAAGAATCTTTCTGCAGAGCTAATGCTCTGAATTTGGACTTCTAGCCTCATGAGCTGTGAGAGAATACATTTCTGTTTGTTAAAGCCCTCCCCTTGTGGTATTACTATTATAGCAACACTAGAGAACCAAGACAACCAAACACTAAAAAAGATTGAGCCATTTTTTAAGGCCCTAGTTAGAGCAAATGGTTAAGAGTTTGACTACTAGTCAAAAAGTTAGCAGCTCCAGACAATTCAGAGATGCCTCAGAAGATAGGCTGGGTGATATGACTCCCAAAGGTCATAGCCTCCAAAACTATGTGGAACAGCTCTACTCTGCAACATGGGGCTGACATGAGTCAGAATTGACATGACAGCAACTAACACCACCAATTTTGGCTGAAAGCAGAGAATATCAGAAAGATGTTTACCTGTGCTTTATTGACTATGCAAAGGCCTTTGATTGTGTGGATCATCACAAGCTATGGACAACATTGCAAAGTATAAGTATTCTGGAACACTTAATTGTGCTCATGAGGAATCTGTTCCTGGACCAAGAGGCAGTTGTTTGAACAGAACATGGGAACACTGAATGTTTTAAAATGAAGAAAGGTGTGCGACTGGGTTGTATTCTTTTACCATACTTATTCAACCTGTATGCTGAGCAAATAATCTGAGAATCTAAGTTCTATGAAGAAAAACATGCCGTCAGGATTGGAGGAAGACTCATTAACAACCTGTGATATGCAGATGATACAACCTTGCTTACGGAAAGTGAAGAAGACTTAAAATATTTACTGATGACGATCAAAGACCACAGCCTTCAGTGTGGATTGCATCTCAATGTAAAGAAAACAAAAATCCTCATCACTGGACCAATAAACAACAGTCTTATCAATGGAGAAAAGATTGAAGTTGTCAAGGACTTCATTCTTCTTGGATCAACTATCAACACTCATGGAAGCAGCAGTCAAGAAATCAAACGACATATTGCATTGGGCAAATCTGCTGCACAAGACCTTTTTAAAATGTTGAAGAGCAAAGCTGTCACCTTGAGGACTAAGGTACGCCTGATCCAAGCCATGGTATTTTCAATAACCTCATATGCATGCGAAAGCTGGACAGTGAATAAGGAAGACTGTAGAAGAACTGATGCTTTTGAGGTTTTGGAGGAGAATATTGAAAGTGCCATGGGCTGCCAAAAGAACCAACAGATCTGTGTTGGAAGAAGTGCAGCCAGAATGCTCCCTGGAGGCCAGGATGGCCACACTTCGTCTCTCATACTTCAGAAATATTGTCAGGAGGGACCAGTTGCTGGAGAAGGATATCATGTTTGGTAGGGTGGAGGGTCAGACCCTCAGTGAGATGGATTGGCAAAGGGGAAGCATCAATGGGCTCAAGCGTGGCAATGATAGTGAGGTTGACCCAGGATCAGGCAGTGTTTCGTTCTGCTGTGCATAGGGTCGCTATGAGTCGGTACCGACTCGATGGCACCTAACAACAACACCAATGAAACAGACAGACTGAGTCATAAATCACTACCAGCCCAAGTCTGTTCTTAACTCCTTCTTGCTATCTTCTTTGGTTAAGATCTGGTTCCATAAAGAATACTTTAAAGAGTCGAGTTTAATCTACCATTCTCAGATCTCATTTGAGGAAAAATTGTTGAATAAGAAGCTGAGATCATTGGTACCTGGACATCCTTGACCCAAGACCTTGCAGTCGTCTGTGGGAGAAGCTGCTGTGAAAAGGGACCTCCACAGAGAGGCAACATGTGTTCCCTATAGTTTTCATCTTTGGTCTCTGTGCTACTCTCTGGAGCCCCTACATACATAAAATCCCTTTTTATATGGAATTTGTTGGAATATTGAAAGGCAATTCCCTTGTGTCTTATTTCACTCCTCAAGGTATTCCTCAGGGTCTAAGAATAGCAGGTCACTGAATCAAGTATCAGCAGAGTGAATGATCTCTCTATCTCATATTCATATACACACTCTACAATGATGTTGTCAATAGCTTAATAATAAATATATCTCTGGGCCAGGTTTACTGCTATAAATTAGTGAACTGTCCTCCAAATGGCTCTACATCAGGGATCTCTGTACAGAAAGCCCTTTGGGAGTGCTGTGTTCTTGACTGCTTTCTCTTAGCCACACAGCCATACTCAGAAGGGTGTTTGTTGTTGTTAGGTGCCATTGAGTCGGTACTGACTCATAGCAACCTTATGCACAGCAGAATGGAACACTGCCCAGTCCTGGGCAAACCTCACAGTTGTTGCCACTCTTGAGCACATTGATGCTGCCACTGTGCCAATCCATCTCTCTGGGTGTCTTCCTCTTTTTCTCTGACCCCCCACCTTACCAAACATTCTCCAGTGACTGGTCCCTCCTGACAATATGTCTGAAGTATGAGAGATGAAGT